TATGCTAATCCTCTACAGACATGCCCACATGATCTAGAACAGTGGTTCTCAACCTTCCTAATGTTGACACCCTTTCATTACTGTTCCTCATGTTTGTGACCCCAAACCATAAAATTATTTCATTGCTACTTCATAACTGTAATTTTGCTACTGTAATGAATTGTAATATAAATTCGTGACATGCAGGTTGAGAACCACTGATCTAGACAGTGTTTTTTTTACTAAGACTCTCTTTTCTGGGGATTTTAGCTTGTGTCACTTTGACAACCAACCTCTACACTCATAATAAAGTTACTGTTAATGTAAATGGTTGTTACAATGTATTGTTTAGGAATAATGAGAAAAAACTTCTCTGGGTAGGGGAGGTAACTCAGTGTGCTTGCTGTGTAAGCATGGGGGCCTGAACTCAATCCCTAGAACCTATTATTTTAAAAGCTGTTGAGGCGGCACACTGGAGGGGGAGAGACAGGTGGATCCCATTGAGCCTACGTGGTGAGTTCCAGGCCAGTGAAAGACCCTGTCCTAAAAATGAAAAGTAGATGGTGTTTGAGAAACAGTATATGAGGTTGTCCTCTGACCAACACACACACACACACACACACACACACACACACACACACACACACACACAAGCAGGGGGAAAGAGAAGAGAGACCTACGCAGGTTCAGTGGAAGTACAATTTAAAAACTTTTACTGTGGCCTGTGGTTAGTGGAATCCACCGCCCCAGAGCCCATTGGCCTGGAGGGCCGACAGCAGAATGTTTTGCAGGCAAAACCTCTAAAATAAATAATGCTCCTAATAAATGTGTCATCTCTCTAAATGTTCTGTAGTCATGACCTAGTTTGTGGTTTTTTTTTTTTTTTTTTTTTTTTATGAGAAAGAGTTTATAAATGTAGCACTCCCTAGTGCAACCACTGTTCACATACATACACACTTGCCAGTCTTCAAGCTATCTTAGGGTTCTCCCTGTAGATGCTGCTGGGGTCGACTCTGGCCCCAGCACAGACATTCCAGTATGGCACAGCTAGCTCCTTGCCCCACCCAGCCCCGGGCACATGCTCTTCAATGTTGCTTGAGTTTATAGGAGACATAAAAGCGGGGACTGGGTGCTCATCTGGCTTAGTTGGCAGAGTGCTTGTCTAGCATGGAAAAAGCCCTGGGTATGAAGTCCTGCCTTCGCCCTTCAGCATTCCATAAGCTGGGCACTGTAGCATAGGTCTGCAACACCAGTACCTGAAAGGTGGTAGGTAGCAGGAGGATCAGAAGTTCAAAGTTAACCTTGGGTATATAGTGACTGCCAGGCCAGCCTCGGATACATGATATCCTGTCTCAAACAAAATAAAACAAAGTAGCCTTCATTGTTTAGAACAGTTTTTAGTTTGCACAAAACTTAAATGTTATCATGGACTTCCCTGTGTCCCTGTTCTTTTCTTAATGCCTTTCTTGGTTCATTTATTGTAACCATGCCGTGCCTCCTTCCCAGCTTCTTGCTGGGAATGATTTTCTGTCTTTAAAAAAAAATCATTTTAAAAAGATTTAATTTATTATTTTTAATTATGTGTATCCGTGTGTGTTTGTGTGTGGATTTGTGTACAACTGTAAGTGTCCTTGGAGGTCAGAAGGGAGCATCAGATCCCCTGGAGCTGGGGCTGCAGATGGTTATGGGTTGTTCAACATGGGTGTTAAGAATTGAACTCTGGTCCTTTGCATGCCTCTGGTCTCTCTCTTTCCTCCACTCTGTACAGTTCTTTAGGACCACTCACTGTTGTGACTGTGAAATGAGTCTATGGGTAATACATATCTAATTTAAAAATCAATATAATGATCTCTCTGATAGCAGAGGAACAGAAGTAGCACCATACATAATTAACGTGCATTTGCCATGATAAATGACCACTCAGAACTGTTCTGGAAGCCAGCAGTGCTCACGTGTCTGTTATCTGCGTGTGATTTGGGAGCAGGAGGATGACAAGACTCTAGGATATTATTGGCATTGTTTTTTTTCCTCCATGTTTTGGGCGTTGAAATAAAGTCTCAATAAATATATTCATAAGCACACGTGGAATCTCTTGGCCTGTGGCAGCTGTACATAAGACGGACATAGATATGCTGAGTGCTGACTCAGATGTGGTGACTGGAACTGCCTTCCATGTCTTGATTTCCCAAAATTAGAAGAGTTCTGCCTAAGTTAGGGTTTCTATTGCTGCGATGAAACACCATGACCACAAAGTAAATCGGGGAGGAAAGGGTTAATTTTGGCTTACATTTCCACACTGCCCTTCTTCACCAAAGGAAGTCAGGACAGGAGCTCAAGCAGGGCAGGAACCTGGAGGCAGGAGCTGATACAGGTCTGTGGAGGGGTGCTGCTTACTGACTTGCTCCCCATGGCTTGCTCAGCCTGCTTTCTTATAGAACACAGGACCACCTGCCCAGGGATGGCCCTACCAGAAACTGTCGGGGCCTTTCTCCCAGAGATAACTCCAGCTTTGTTGACACAAGGGTAGCCAGCACCAGTTCCATCTTCCTAGTGTTACTTGTTAGTTTTAGTTCTAGAAAATTCTGTGTACATTCAAAAGATGGTAGCATAGTTCATGTTCACATATAAAACACAGTTGAAGTTCTAATGTGATTGGAAGCACGTTTTCTCAGAATGAAAGATCCAGGCTGGCTTACCCACGTCTCCCCTGGCCTCAAAGAAAGCACTTGCATTTCTCCACAGTGTCCCCTAGGCGGCGGAGCTGCTGCGAATTGTGTGTTTTTCTGAACTGGGAGGGAATGCTTCTGAAACATTAAGGTGCGGGCTCACCGTCGCCCTCCAAGAATACAACTAATATAATCTCCCAGTGAATCCGCAGGGGCTCTTTCCCCTCCTGGAGCGGGGGGGGGGGCTGGAGTATAAAAGGCAGGAGAAGCTTACAACAGCTCTTGCTTCTGAAACCCTCTTCCTCGCGTTCAAAGTCCTGACTGCTCTGGTACCGAACACGAGGAAGCATAACGAGCCCTAGTTTGCTCACCTTCACCTTTAAATGCGGGATGCTCTGGAAACAAAACCAAGTGAGGAACCAGAACAATGATTCTTTTAGGGAGCCTGCGGTACAGCGCGCGTGTGTGTTTGGAGGTGCAGCGGCGGGGGCGGGGTGGCGGTGTTCGGGGAGGGGCCCACGTTCTAAGACTTTTGACCAGTTCTCAAGATGAATTGAATCAGAGAGCAACGGAGAAATGCTTGTTAAAATACCAAACAAATAAGCACACACATAAAACAGATTGGAGGTGGGGATGAAGCTCCATGCTAAACCCAGTGCTAACTACCGGCCTCCTGTCCCCAGCACCACGGTGAAAAGGAAAACAGGATTTTCAGAGAGCACAAGAAGGAGGGAATGGAGTCTAAAAGAACACTCGCGCTAAGGTTTTAGCCAAGTCTGCCCTGACACAGCAGTCTGTGACACCGACCTCCAGCAGTGCGCAAGGCCTGCGTATTTTTGCTCTGGGGTAGCCAGGTGATACTCTGAGAGCCACCGACAGGACATCCAATGGAATAATAGGAAACAAGCCCGCCCCACCATGCAAGATATGAGAAGACAGGGGGACTCAACATTTAAAGCTTTGTTATCGAGGGCGGCATCAGAAGCAGAGGGTACAGACTGTGAGCGTGTGTGTGTGTGTGTGTGTGTGTGTGTGTGTGTGTGTGTGTGTGTGTGTGTGTGCCTGCCTTAAAGCTCAGCGAGCATGGCGTGAGTCTTTTTCCTTTGGGAAAAGAAGGGGCTGTTGAAATGACCTAGTTCGACGATTTCAGTGTATAGTTGAAATTATTGCTTTTTATAAATAAAAAGGAAGGGAGCTGGGATCACTCAGATCTAATCCCAACAAAATATGACCTCCCCATCTCCGAAACCCTGCAGTGACGTTTAAATCCTATCCAGACTTCCGTGTCACCAGCAGAGCGGAAACCAGAAAGGAAACCGGTTACTCGGGAAAGAAAACAAGGTGGATTCCCTTAAATGAAGGAATTGGCTCCTTAGAGCACTCAGATTAAATTTAGAGACTGGTATCAACCGATTGATAAAATCTAAACCCTGGAGAGCTCGGATGTGAACGCCATCAAAAGCGTGCCCAATCCATTAGGCAGCAGGTTCGCCTGCGGGTCTTCCCCGGGCCGGTCCTGTGGACCAGGTTGCAGCTTCGTCGGGGAGACCAGCCCCACCGCGCCAGGGTATGAAGTTGGCAGGGTCAGAGGTGGAGAACACAGATGATGCACCGGCAGACAGAGGAGTCTTCAAGGGGGACCGATCTTGGATGCTCAGAGACGGAAATGAGCTGGTGACAGACAGATGGATGGAAAAGGTCCAGGGAGAGTCGCAATGGGGGGAAGCCACTGTTCCAGCAACACCTCCATCTCTGTGGGTGGAGGGAAATTGGGAAGAGAGAGAAAGCCCTTTAAAGGCAGGGGACCCGTGGGCTTGGGGACAGGTGAATTCCGATACCGGCCTGGGCAGGCGGGGACCAGGCTCAGCCCCTGGAGCCTGCGTGGATTCGGGGGAGAGAGAGGGACGAGCCGCGACGCTCCCTCTCCTGCCCACGCGCGGCCACCGGCTCGGACCACTGCAGAGCAATTAGGGTGGAAGGGTTCGTCCTGGGCACCAATCCGCTACGCGAGTTGGGGGCGCGTCCTCCGTCACGCCCTCGCCCAGCCCTGCGCCAGCTTCAGACTGGTCCCCACGCCCCCTAACAGTCCTTCCGCGCGCCTGGCCCGTCCGGGGCCCTCCCTCTCCACCAGCCTCCGTGTATCGATCCCGGTGCCCGGGCTCAGCGCCTCGGGGCGGGTCCCTGCCGCCCGCACCTGCCCCCGGGGGCGGAGCGCATCGGCGACAGCGCGGCTCCAGCCTCCGCCACTCGCCGAGCTAGCGGCGGACCTGCCGCTCACGCGGTCGGCTTGAAGCTCTCTCTCCACGCCCTCGGTCCCTTGTCACTTCGGACTCGTGTCCCCATCGCGAGGATCTGCAGCCCCGGCGCCATGGAGCCAGCCCCGGGCAGCGAGCGCCGTAGTCCCCCTGGCCCCGGAGTCCCGCGGCCACCACCGCGGGGCCACGCGCCCTCGGCCGCCGCCCCCAGCCCGGCCCCGGTGAGCTCGTCAGTGCAGTCGGACGAGGAGAGGCAGCCTCGGATCAGTGAGAGCGGCCAGTTCAGCGACGGGCTGGAGGATCGAGGTGAGCTGCCACCGCCCCGGGTCCCTTCCCCTCCACCTCCCGGGAGCCACCTGTCCCCAGTACGCTGGAGTGAGCGCGGAGAGCAGAGATGACAGTCCTACTTCTCGAGATCCGTGCGAGCCAGGCAGCTACGCCTCCTGGGATCCCCCCTTTCCCGTTCCAGATCCCGGCGGGTGCCTTGTTCCGTGTCCGCGGGAAAAGTTTACAGACAGGGTTCTCTGTCGCTTATAGGGGACCTAGGGGTTTCCTCTCTGTGCTGGGAGACGTGGGTTCTAATGCATCCCTCCGCGCCGGCCCTGCCAGTCACCCAGGGAAACTTCTTGATTGATTAGTGGAGGGACGCCCCATAGGGTGGCAGCCAGGGTCTCCGTGGCCTCTGCACTCACCGGGGCCTGACACTCCCCGAGGTCCTGGGTCACAGCCGCACTGCCCTACAGTGTCAGTGTGCTGGCATAGCGGTTGGAGTTTGGGGGTTCTGGCCACTAACCTGGTCAGCATAGATGCTACCCAAAGCTGATACTTCTTGGAGAACGTGTGTTCAGATCTCAGAGTCCTTCCCTGGACGCTGGCCCGAGACCCGTGCATCTCCACTAAGGCATCCCCACCTCCCGCCCACCGCCACCATCCCCTTTGGGGGCCTACATGGAACACCAGGGCTCCCCCAGTCATCCCGCCTGGCTCCCTTTCCTCGCCCTGCCCTCGTGGCCCTCGGTTTGGATTCTTTGCATCTACTACACCTTTCCCCTTTCTTGCTGCTTCCGAATTGGACCCCTCGGAAATTATCAACGGTTCCGCTAAAACCGTTGGTGGCGGATTTGGTGTCTCTGCAGCCAGGCCCTTCCCAGGCAGGCTCTGTACACCTCTACTCTCTCTCTCTCTCTTTTTTCTTGGAAGCTTTCATCTGTCGACTGTAGAGTGCTTATATTATTTTAGTTCCAGCAGGTTTCTGTCCTATTCTTAGTACCTTGTGCATCTTTATAGTCTGGTTTCGTGTTGGGATGTAGGATCTCTTCCTTAGAGATTCCGAACTGTAGCGTGTGAAACAGGATGACATGGAAACAGATTTCCCAGAGAAGCGGCAGAGATGCTGTGCCGGGAAACTGGAGCTGCTCCAGACTGGAACGAGTTCTGCACCCGTGTTGCAGGTTCATTCCCCATCCCCACAGAACTGGATAGCCTTGGAGACAGGAGATTGGGCGGCATCATCAGAAACCCAGAAGAACCTCTTACCAATTCTGGGGTGTGAGAATTACCTTTACCCCGTGGTAACTCCTATTGCAAGATTTAAACATTTTGCATTGAAGAAAAGCAATGCCCGGGGTTGGGCTTCATTCTGTAGCATTGCGGGTTATCTGTAAGAGACGGCTAGTCTCTCCCAACCCCTGCAGAAGGACAGACGAGAAACCCATGCTAGGATGAATTGATATTTATCATTATCTAGAGGCCACGCTCCAGCGTTAAATTACACAAAAACAAAACAAAAACCTCTTCTGAGTACGTTCTTTAGGGGTTTCTGTCAGTGGTCAAATGAACTTCATTTTCTATTATATTGTGTCCTGAAAGCGTTTGCTGTTGATAAACCACTGCTGTGTGGACGCTTGCATATCACACACACTCTCTCTGTTAGGACGAATTGTGTGCCTCACAGAACCCAGGGTTCTATGCCGTTTCTGAGCTGTGACATTTCTTTTGTTTCACCCATTCCTGGCTGCAAAGAGTTAATGATAAATGAAGACTCCAGTTAAACAAATCAGAAGCCTCCTGGGAGCTTGGTTATAATATTTTATATGTTTGTGTTATTTTATTTATTTATTTATTTTGGTATTTCTTGGGAATGGTTCACGGCTTGTGGCCCTCTTCCCACCAGCGACAGGAACCTGGGAAGAGGAAAACTCCCTGGTCTCCAGCTCTCTCTCAGTGCTTTGGCTTTCTGCTAGGCCCTGTCCCTCACAGGGTGTGGGGGATGGGCTCTTCTGCTGTACCTTCCATACTATATTTTTGTGTGGACTTCCGACTTCCTTCTGAGCAGTAGAACCCTACAGCAGGCCGCTTCTTATCCCTATTGGAGAGTTTTTTTTTTTTTTTTTTTTTTTTTAAATAACTACTGTTTTGGGATTTTTTAAAAGAGATATTTTCTTCTTAGAAGTGATATGGGCTATTTCTCAGAATCCCAGGGAGCTCAAACCGCCCCAACACTCCTGTGACATCTGGTTGAGCCTGTGGTTCAGGAAGCAAGCAAGCACTATGTGGAACTTCAGGAACACACATACACACACACACACACACACACACACACACAGGCCCAATTGATCTTAGTGGTTCCCTCTCCCCATCTTTAATATCCATTTTTTTCTGCCATTTTGTCCCAAACCTTTGGATATGGCCTCACCTTACAGAGTTATAGACTTTATTTATCACCTTCCTTTAGCTGCCCTTCTCATTAAAACAAGCAAAAACACCTCTCTGCAGAGAATGAAAACTCAATGGCCTGGTGTGGTGATTCAGGCCTAGAACACCAGCACTTGGGAAATAGGAGCAATTGGATCACTGGGAGCTCACGGCCAGCCTGGGCTACTACGGAATTATGGGCCAGTTTTGAGTGCAGAGTGAGAAAAACATAGGAGAAATCAATGACTGATCCTTCAGACTACTGAGGAAATAACGCCTTCACATATATTTGTCTCTGCCTTCCTTCATTAACGTATCCCCTGGCATTGTCGGATCCACATTACGGAATTTAAATTGGGTTAGAATCCACTGTGGGAGCTGGCTGTGGGCACACGGGCCTGAGGTCTGTCTTAGTTTCTGCTGGGCTGGCCTGCCTGGCTCCTACTTGTGATACCCTGCTGTCTGAACCATCACTCCCACATTCCTGTAGCTTGTGAGGGTGCTAGCATCTATCTGGCATGGATGCAGAAAAGCTGACGCGGAGGCCAGTCATTTCTGAGCCCTTGTGGGTCATCATGTTGTACTTCCTTTGGGGGCATAAGAAATGACCATTCCTGGCATCAGCCATGCAGGCATCTGTGCGTGTATATGTTATTGGTGTGTGGGTGCACATGTGTAGAGGGCAGAGATAACTTCAAATGTCATTCCTCAAATGCTGTCAGCTTATTTTGAGAACAGATTCTCTCACTGATCCGGAACTGGTTCATTCCACTATTTGGCCAGTGAGTTTCCAGGGAGCCCAGCATGCACCACCATCCCTGGATTTTTGTAAAGCTTCTGGAGCCTAACTCAGGTTCTCATGTTTGTTTGGCAACTACTTTACCACTAAGCCACTCCTGAGCACCCCCAGCTGCATTTTTAGAAAGGAAATAAAGAGATAAGCTCAGTCAGAGTGGAAAGAGAAAATTCCTTCCTCTTTTGAAGTGTTTTCATTATAATGACTTTATATTCCCCACCCCCTCAACATTACAGCCTCCCAGGGGAGCCACAAGGAAGGTCAGATCTGGGGAAGGGACTCCAGTCCTGGCTCTGAAAACCCAGAAGCCATGGTAGCAGCAGCCCCCCCCCCCCCACAATGAGTTCCACTTGACTCTCTCACAGGGAATGCTGGTTCTGGTGGGAGGCCACGCACAGGCGTGGTCAGGGCCAGGTGTGCTGGTGAAACCAGCCAGCTCTGGAAGAAAAAAATGCTGCACAGCAGAACGGGCAGGGGGTGTACCCTGTAATGGCTGTTCTCTGTGGAAAAGTAAACCAGCTTCTTAGAGGGAACATGTTTTTGTCCCTGCTGGACGAACCACTTGAAATGGCTGCTGTCAGAACGCCTGGCAAATGAACCATTCACTTAAGCTGCTGCTTAAATGGTGTAGTTTCACTTCTCCTGAAACCAATGGACCAGGAAGAAAGCAAGATAGCATTCGTGTGTGTGTGTGTGTGTGTGTGTGTGTGTGTGTGTGTGTGTGTGTGTTGAGACAGGGTCTCTCTACTATGTAGCTCTGGTTGTCTTGGAACATACTATGTAGACCAAGCTGGCCTTGAACTCACAAGAATTGGCTTGCCTCTGCCTCCTGAGTTCTGGGACTAACAGGATACAATTTTGGGCAGTGGGGGGGGCTCAGAAAATGACCCCCCCCAATGCACTTTTGCCTGCTGGGTGCTCTGATCTGAAGGTTTCTAGAAAGCCTTAGAAGCAAAGCCTACTCTCCTTTTACTTCCTGTCCCCTTTGCACCCCAAGGCTGGCCATAGGAACCAGAATTCCAGGCTGTGGAGATGGTTGGGTTGTTAAGGCGCTTGCTTTGCAAGCGTGAGGACCTAAGTTGTACCCCCAGAACTCGGGTGAAAAAGTGCTGTGTGTGGTGGCATAATGCTTGTAACTCCAGCACTGAAGAGGTGGGGACAGGAACATCCCTGGGGCCCACGGGACAGCCAACTTAGTAGGTGAGCTCATAGCTGAGCGAGAGAATGCTGTCACAAAATATGTGGCAGATGGTATCAGAGGAACAACACCTGCGGTTAGCCTCTGACCTCTAAAAACATGTACACACATGTGAATATGAATTAAAAAATAGGAAAGAAACTCCAACCTTCTTCATTCAAAAATAACCATAAACCCAAGAATTATTGTTTTGTCCACCTCCCCTACCCCCCAGTGTAAGAGCTGGACACAGAGAAACTCTCTGACTGTCCTTGTCTAACACTGAATCAATCAAAAGACCTCATTCTGGAAGGGGCCCTGGGCCACACTCACCACGGCATTGGTGTCTTAGAGGCAACACTAAGACTTGGAGCAGACAGGTCTTGTTGAGTTTCTCTCCTTCATGCATCTCGTATCTAATCCCATCTCCTCAGGGATATGCACTTTTCATTGAATCTGAGCATCAGAATAGCTCCCCTTGGCTTTGGGGGTCTTCATTTCTGAAGCCGCCTATGTCATATAAGATTGATCTCTCCTTCTACCCCTCTCCCCCTCCTTTCCCTCCTCCCACCTCCCCCTTCTTCCTTCTCCCTTCTCTTTCCTTTCCATCTTCCCCTCCTTTCCTCTCACCTCTTCTTCTACCTTTCCCTCCCTTACTAATTGCTCACCTTACTAATTTTTGAGACAGAGTCTCATGTATCTCAGGCTGTATTCGAACTCTGTATGTATCTGAAGATGACTCCCATCCAAGTCTGCGATTTCAGCCATTCATCACTAGTTATACAATGTTATGAATGGAACCCAGGGCTGCAAACATGCTAGGAAAGTACTCTACTGACTGAGCTGCACCTCTAACCCATTACATAGATTTTGGTTTAAATATATCTGTTAGGAATTTTTACATTTTTTTTCTCATGTTAACCTGATTTGTCGTGTATCAGTCATGACCCTAATTATAGAGGAAGAGTAGTTTCCTGTCCTTTCTTCTCCTATAGTGGTACATCTCACACTGTACATTTTACATATGGTACCTAAGCTTTACCTCCCTAGTCATCATTGTTTATAGCCAGTGTGATGAACGAGGCTGCCAAATCTCGGAAAGATACACTATGAAGCCAGAGCTGGCACCATTGGCTTTTATTTGTATATGATACAAGGCTGATATTTTGGCTCTCTGGTAACTAAAAACAGCACATACAATCATCATCATCTTCTTTTCTTCTCCTTCCTCTTCCTCCTCCTTTTGGTTTATCTGAGACAGGGTTTCTCTGTGTAGCCTTGGCTGTCCTGGAACTCACTCTGTAGGTCGGGCTGGCCTCAATGAACTCAGAGATCCCAAATTCTGGGATTAAAGACATGTATCACCACTGCCTAGTTATAATTTTATTCTTTTTAAAAATATTGTTATTTATTATGGTATGTATATATGTCTGCATATGAACAGGACAGAAGGACATCAGATCCCCTGGAGCTGGAGTTATAGGCAGTTGGGAGCTGCCTGGAATGGGTGTTGGGAATCAAACATGGGTCCTCTGCAAGAGCAGTATGTGCTCTTAACCACCTCTCCAGACCCTACAATTTAATTCTCAGAGGATAGGAACGAAGCACAGATCAACCTGGAGATGTTTAAGTGGGCATTGCTGATGAGTTGTCACAGATTCCTGTTCTTGTCATGGATTCCTTCTGTGCAAACATAGGAGATAAAGAAAACCCGTTGTACTTGAAACCTTCCTAGGAAGCTAGCTCTGGCTTTAGCAGTTTCACTGTCCCTTCATAGTCTGATAATTTGTGCATACATATGTGGGCATAGTTTAATCTCAGAAACCTTTCCCCGGGAATGCTACGCACCAGGAGGCAGAGTCTCTCATTGGCCTGGAACTCACCAATTTGTGATCCTCTAGTCCCGGTTTCTGAAGTGCTGGGATTACAAGCATGTGTTGTTACTATGTCATCTACTTCACAGGAAACAAACTCAGGACTTCATGTTTGTATGGCAAACAATTTATTGAATGAACTATCTCCTAGATCCCCGAGAGAGTTTTAACATTTTTAATTGGTTGACTAGTGAGTGAGTCAGTTATTTGCTTAATGTGTGCTTCAGTACAAAGGCAGGAGAAAACATACTGGTTGCCTGGGGGTCGGTCCAGGGAGGGCATTTGTACAGTCTGTGATTCCTAGGTTTGTATAAATCCGACACTGCTATTGGGACTGTACTAGTGGATCAATGCTCACGTCCGAGAAGCCCGAACACCTAATTAGTCACCACAGTTCTTTCCTAATGGAAGGACTTTGTTGGGATGAGAAATTTCTACTGAGCCAAATGACTTCGTGCAGAGGATGAAGAATGGCGTGGGGTGAGGTGTGTGGAGTTCTTCTAACTCACAGAACTTCTGGTGCCCCGTGGAAACACGTACCCGATATGATACTGCCTGGGGCTTATAGTTTTATATGGGATGCCAGAACACATGATAATTTGTTGTGTTTTGTTTTTAATGTGCAATCTCCTCCTTGTAGAAACCAAGTATGGGCCAGACAAAAACACATTTTGGCCCAGAGGCTGTGGGTGTGCAGTCTTTGGAATGGGATGCCATAGCTCTAGCTGTGTGTTCTGATGTATGAAAATGCCTTTCTCACTTTCCTCCCTGTTTCTATCAGGTTTACTAGAAAGCAGCACCCGGCTGAAACCTCACGAAGCCCAGAACTACAGGAAGAAGGCATTGTGGGTATCCTGGTTCTCCATTATTGTCACCCTGGCCCTGGCAGTGGCTGCCTTCAGTGAGTATCAGGGAGTCTTGCTAATCAATACTCGCCAGTTGCTCGACTTTCCCTGTAACCACTCCCTGTGGGATGTGCTTTGCTTTTAGTTGACTGTTATTGATGAGTAAAAAAAAAATTTAGATGGTTGGATAGTCAGGGTACTCATGAATTAGTAAAATGGCTTCACTTCTCTGCAGAGGGAAGAGGTATGAGAAAGGAACGGAGAGAAATAACTGAGAGCTTCAGTCTCATCAGTATTCAGGTTTGTGGAACTGGATTCCGGCTGGCATCAACCAGCCGGATAGTGAAAATAGTCTCTTCTTGGCAGATGTCTTCAGCTCAGGCTGACATGACAAATACACATCCCGGAGATTTGGATTTTGAGCCTAATGCAACTAGATGAGTGCAATATTGCAGCAAGCTCTACCCTTTCCTTCTTGATTGTGGCTTGTGCAAGGTCAGGAGTAAAATCATTTGCACAATTTTAATGAAAGAAAAAATGGAAAGGCATTCTCGTATGGTTTACTGAATTAAAATAATATCTTACAATTTTGAGAAGCTGTGAAAATGGAGCAACTTCTGTCTGTAGCTGGTCTTGTTTGGGGATTTGGAATTTCTACAGAGGGTTTTCTCCATTGGATACTTGCAGCTTATGAAATACGCATGTGCTATTTATTCTCTTTAATTGTGCAACGATTCAAAAGCCTAAGCAGCAAGCTATGCTCAACCTTGAACCTTGATAGGAATTGTACTTTTTTTTTTTTAATTCTCCTTTTTTTTAATGGTGGAAAACAAGGGAATGTGCGTTTATAAATGTTGTGATGATAAGAGAGACCCGTGCTCTATGTGCTAAGCATCCTACAAGGTGCTTCAGGGGAGGAGGCAAAAGGAATGTGGTCAGTAGGCGACATGGCTGTGTGTGAGTTGTTTAAAATTCTCTTCTGCTGCCTTTGATGGTTCTGCTGGAAGTTGGGCTGGATCCCAAGGGGACAGGAATTAGAATTTGACCAAATGCTCCCTTCAAAACTCAGCATATATTATTAGAGACAATTTATATTGGGAACAATGCACAATATCCCGGCTCTAAAAGAAAAAAAAAGCCAAATATTCAGAATACAGAAATAATGCGTTTCGGGGAATAAACATTTATCAGTGAGCCAGAAATCTAATCAGGAAGAACTCTGACTTTTAGGAATATAATAGCTTCTCTCTCCTTGCCTCCTCCCCCCTTTTTAATACTGAGACCAAAATAACAAGGCAATGGATGTCCCTTGAGGGTAATTTGTTTGTTGTGGCTGGTAGGTGGACTGGAGATCAGACATGGTAATTTACATATGTGAAGAAATGGAATGAAGGGGGTCATTTGCAGATAGAATAATAGCTCCTCAGGCGTGGCCCTGAGGGTCATGGTCCTCTGAGTATTTGAATGAGGGCCTGAGTCTGAGGCTATGAGTCTTTCATTTGGAATAATCATCACTTTTTAGGGAAAAATAGGAGGAAAACTTGGCTTCATTTGTAATATCCAAAAAAGTCTGCATGAGGCTAGGGCACGGGTTTATGGAAGCTTCTTCTTCCTTTTCTTTTCTTTTGAAAGACATCATAGAACTATTTAACTTAAATCCTCTAACTTCCCTTTTAAAGATTCATTTTTGCTGGTTATTTATGTGTATGCATGTGTTTGCCCAAGTGCATTCTGTACATCCCCGGAGGCCAGAAGAGGGCATGGAGCCCTCTGCAGCTGGAGTTATAGCCAGCTGTGGGACACGGATACTGGGGGCTGAACTCACCTCTTTTGCAAGAGCAGCAAGTGTTCTTAACCACTGGTCATCTCTCCAGTCTTAACGTCTTCCCTATCACGTGTGGATGTTGCTGTATTGTTTACCATGACCTGTTATATTCTATATGCCTTTAATTTCATTCGTAAGTTGTTTCTAACTACTTTTGATTTGGTTAAATCCTAAAACATAGAAGATAAAATTATATTTTGCACCATTAAACTAGAGTGGTTTTAGTGTGTGTGTGTGTGTGTGTGTGTGTGTGTGTGCCTGTGTATACATCTGTCTGGGTATACATCTGGTGTGTTGGTGCAGGGTAGGCATGTGTATGTGTGTCTATGTGCATGTGTGTCTGTGTTGTTGCAGGGTCTGTGTGTGTATGTGTGAGTGTGTGTATGTGTGTGTGTATGTGTGAGTGTGTGTATGTGTGTATGTGTGTGTGTGTGTGTGTGTGTGTGTGTGTGTGTGTGTGTGTGTGTAGGTGCATGCCTATGCATGTTGCAGAGGTGAGAGGGGATGTCTGGTGTCCTGCTCTCTCTTTCATCACTTTGTGATACCCTTGAGACAGGGTATCTCACTGAACCTGGAGCTGGACTGGCAGCCAGCAAGTCCTTGAAATCCCCATTACAGTCCTCCACTGGACTGGGGTTGCAGGCACTCAAAGCTACACTTAGCTTTTTATGTGGGTGCTGGAGATTCAAACTAACATCCTCATGCTTGCCTAGCAAGCACTGTACTGACCCAGCCATCTCCCCTATGAACTCGTTCTGATAATACTTGGTAAGATAATGATTTGGACGTGCTGAAGCATCAATATGAAACCATGGTAATGCATCTTGGAATATTAGAGGGAAGTCCTAGTTTGATTTTGAAATATATTCAGCATGTAATGGGCAGACAGCATGGAAAATGCAATCTTCTTGTGAACGAGTGTGAAAACACATCTCCTGTAATAATGAGGCCAGAGAGAATAAAAGCTCAGCCTCAAAACTCAGGGTTTTGACAACATTGATGTCTTTATTAAGATGACTGGAGAAAATGTATTTCTGACTTGGGTTTTGAGATTTGAGTGCATTAATTTTAAGGACTTGATACCTGCCTGTTTTTTGTGGGAAATGAAGATATGTTGGAAACAATATCAAGGGGAAAAAATTCTTTTCCTACGATGGTGTTTTAGTTTCTTTTTATTGATGTTCAGATACCCTGAACAAAGCAACTTAAGGGAGAAAGAGGTTATTTTGGCTGCTGGTTCCAGGGTATGGTCCATCACGGAGGAAAAGTCACAGTGGCTTAAGGTATCTGGTCGCACCAGGTAAGGTATCAAGGCTTAAGGTATCAAGCCACACCAAGGTTCCTGCTTAGCTGTTTTTCTCCAGTTTATGCAGGGTAGCATCCCTACTGAAGGAACGATGACACATATAGTGGGCATATCTTCCCACTTCAGTTAGCACAATCAAGATAATCCCTCACAGGCAAGTCCCGAGCCTGGTTCCCCAGGTGAATCCAGGTTTTCTCAAGTTACAATGAACACCAACCATCTCAGAGACAGAGCTCCATTAATACAAAACAACAACCTCAAACTAAATAACAAGGCCCCTCAAAACAAAAGTACTCCAAACCAAGATCTTAGAATCTGCCCCCCAGGATCTATATTAAAAACGAACAAACAAGTTGTGTGTGGTGGAGCATATTTGTAATGTCAGTGCTAGGGAGTTGGGGACAGGCTGACTCCTGGGGCCTCCTTGGCTGGCTAGCCTCGCCTAATTGGTGTGCTTCAGGCTAGTGAAAGATCCTGTCTCAAAACACAAAGTAGAGCCGGGCATGGTGATGCATCCCTTTAAGCCTGGCGTTTGGGAGGCAGAGGAAAGTGGATCTCTGTGAGTTTGAGGCCAAGCTGGTTTACACAGCGACCTCCAGGCCGGACAAAGAAGCTACATAGTGAGCCCCCTGTCTCAAAAAGAGACAAACAGGTGCTTGGGGAATGACATCTTTGTTCTTCACACACATGCACATAGGTGCCTCTACACATGCACGTGCGCGCACACACACGCACATCTGTCTTCCTAGCACCGGGAGGCTGAAGCAGGAGGATGGAGAGCTTGAGGTCAGCTTGTCTCAAAAAAAAAAAAAAAAAAAAAAAAAAAAAAAAAAAAGAAAAGAAAGAAAAGAAAAGAAAAGAAAGAAAAAGAAAGAAAAGAGGAAGGAAGGGAGAGTGGGAGGGAAGGAGGGAGGAAGGTATTTGAGAGTCCCCAGGGGCTTCCTGGGTTCTAAGAGTAAAATCTTCATGTTTGGAGTGGTATCCACTTATCTATTTATTGTTTAATTAAAAAAAAAATTTTTTTTTTGAGATAGGGTTTCCCTGTGTATCCCTGGCTGCCCTGGAACTCGCTCTTGTAGACCAGGCTGGCCTCAAACTCACAGAGACCCTCCTGTCTCTGCTTCCTGAGTGCTGGGATTAAAGGTGTTTGTCACCACTGCCCAGCTATTTAGAATCTTAAAGGTCCAACCTGGCCTGACCCTTTGAACCTCAGCAGGGCTGGAGCCATGTTATTTGCTCTGGCTTGGAGTTCCGGGACACATTGCTTCTCAGAGTCCTCGCCAGCTGTGTGTGACCTTACTGCCTAGAAGTGGCTGTTGGGTGGTCCTGGCAGGAACAAAGATGGCCTAAAGAGAATTTGTGCCCCTCTTTTTGGTTATTAGATTATTGAAATCATGCACCCCAAGAAATTGGAATTTGCCCAGGAATCTCCTGCTAGAGAGGAAAAGAGCTGAGTCTGGGTGCCAGTCAGCGGAGGGCCTTGTCCCTCGGAAAGAGATTCCTTTCACACGTTTCTGTGTGATAGATCAGGCCATGTTGCAGGATTGCACGGTATGGAGGGGCAGGGCCATGCATTGACCAGGACTGTTTAACTGTGCATGTGTCTTGCCTTCTCTTTACCCCTAACCCTGTCGGTACTCCAAAGATGGTCTTGGGGGTCAGTGGATGTCTTTGTTCCCTTTTCCAGTATGACTATGTTGAGTAATTTGCCTCTTTCTGCTTCTCATTGTTGTTATTTGGCCTGCTGAGGATGAGCAGCTGAACCTGGCTTGTAAAGGTCACCAAGGCCCAGGCTTTGACCCTAACAACACTGCGGACAGAGATCTCCTTAGGTGCTGGGTTTCCCCTTTTAGGTCATGCTGTGTGGTTTGTCAAGCCTCTGCCCCTAACGGCTTCTCCACTGAAACACTTCCTGACCCAAACAA